GGCAGTATGCATTTGGGGGGAAAATGGGGTCACCTGTCACTGGCAGTATGCATTGGGGGGATACTGGCAGTCCACGTGTCATTGGCAGTTTGCATTGGGAGGATCCTGGGGTCACGTGTCATTGGCAGTTTGCATTGGGGGGATCCTGAGGTCACGTGTCATTGGCAGCATGCATTGGGAGGATCCTGGGGTCACGTGTCATTGGCAGTATGCATTTGGGGGGGATCCTGGGGTCACGTGTCACTGGCAGTATGCATTTGGGGGATCCTAAGGGTCACGTGTCATTGGCAGTATGCATTGGGGGATCCCAGGGTCACGTGTCATTGGCAGTATGCATTGGGGGGATCCCGGGGTCACGTGTCCATTGGCAGTATGCATTGGGGGATCCTGAGGTCACGTGTCATTGGCGTATGCATTGGGGGGATCCTGGGGTCACCTGTCACTGGCAGTATGCATTGGGAGGATCCTCCGGTCAACATGTCATTGGGGGGGATCCTGGGGTCACGTGTCACTTTCAGTATGCATTGGGAGGGATCCTGGGGTCACGTGTCACTGGCAGTATGCATTGGGGGATTCTGGGGTCACGTGTCATTGGCAGTATGCATTTGGGGGGGTAAAATGGGGTCACCTGTCACTGGCAGTATGCATTGGGGGGATACTGGAGTCACGTGTCATTGGCAGTTTGCATTGGGAGGATCCTGGGGTCACGTGTCATTGGCAGTTTGCATTGGGGGGGGGATCCTGAGGTCACGTGTCATTGGCAGCATGCATTGGGAGGATCCTGGGGTCACGTGTCATTGGCAGTATGCATTTGGGGGATCCTGGGGTCACGTGTCATTGGCAGTATGCATTTGGGGGGGATCCTGGGGTCACGTGTCATTGGCAGTATGCATTTGGGGGATCCTGGGGTCACGTGTCATTGGCAGTATGCATTTGGGGGGGATCCTGGGGTCACGTGTCATTGGCAGTATGCATTTGGGGGATCCTGGGGTCACGTGTCATTGGCAGTATGCATTTGGGGGGGATCCTGGGGGTCACGTGTCACTGGCAGTATGCATTTGGGGGATCCTAAGGGTCACGTGTCATTGGCAGTATGCATTGGGGGGATCCCGGGGTCACGTGTCATTGGCAGTATGCACTGGGGGGATCCCGGGGTCACGTGTCATTGGCAGTATGCATTGGGGGGGATCCCGGGGTCACGTGTCATTTGCAGTATGCATTTGGGGGATCCCGGGGTCACGTGTCATTGGCGTATGCATTGGGGGGATCCTCCGGTCACATGTCATTGGGGGGGATCCTGGGGTCACGTGTCACTTTCAGTATGCATTGGGAGGGATCCTGGGGTCACGTGTCACTGGCAGTATGCATTGGGGGATCCTGGGGTCACGTGTCATTGGCAGTATGCATTTGGGGGGGATCCTGGGGTCACGTGTCATTGGCAGTATGCATTTGGGGGGAAACTGGGGTCACCTGTCACTGGCAGTATGCATTGGGGGGATCCTGGGGTCACGTCATTGGGGGGGATCCTGGGGTCACGTGTCACTGGCAGTATGCATTGGGGGGGATCCTGGGGTCACGTGTCACTGGCAGTATGCATTGGGGGGATCCTGGGGTCACGTGTCATTGGGGGGGATCCTGGGGTCACGTGTCATTGGCGTATGCATTGGGGGGATCCTGGGGGTCACGTGTCATTGGCAGTATGCATTGGGGGGATCCTGGGGTCACGTGTCATTGGCAGTATGCATTGGGGGGATCCCGAGGTCACCTGTCACTGGCAGCAGGCATTGGGGGGATCCCGGGGTCACCTGTCACTGGCAGCATGCATTGGGGGGGATCCCGGGGTCACCTGTCACTGGCAGTATGCATTGGGGGGGATCCCGGGGTCACCTGTCACTGGCAGCATGCATTGGGGGGGATCCCGGGGTCACCTGTCACTGGCAGCATGCATTGGGGGGGATCCCGGGGTCACCTGTCACTGGCAGTATGCATTGGAGGCCACCCTTCATTATTATTTTATAATTTATTTTTTTCTATTAAAAGGGGTCCATATATTAAATGATGATGTTGGAATAATAATAATAACGGCTAGTATACGGCCCCTCTCTTCATTATTATTCCATCATCTTCTTCTACTAGTATATGGACTTATAATAATTATAACAAAATCATATAATAAAAGGTGGCCGTATACTAGCCAATAATCATTATTATTCTAATATTCTAATAAAAATATAATTATTGGCTAGTATACGGCCACCTTCATTATTATTATGAAAGATAGTCCATATTCTAATAGCCAATAATAACGAGCGTTGGTCCACATACTAGCCAATTAAAAAGGAAGAAAAAAAATGTTGAATGATCCATATAATATAAAAATAATAATATATAATAAAATTAAAAATAATAATAATAAATAATAATAATAATTAATAATAAATAATAAAATAATAATAAAGGCGGCCATATAGTAGCCAATAATTATATTATTATAATAATGAAGGACCATATACACTAAATGCCCCCCCAGAATATTGTAGGCGGCCTGAACCAAACCCCCCCCCCCCCCCCCAGACATGATGGGATGTGAAGGGCGGATCAATAACGATTATTATACCTTAGTACAGAAATCGAAGACAATGATTGTGTCCCACCGGGATGATTTATTGGGGAAATGAAGTAAAACCGTCATCTTCATCCTGGCACTCATCAATAATTGGAATGATACGGATTGTGAAATCAGAATATCGAGGGATGGAATTCACCAACAAATGAACAGAATCTATCTTCACCAATGACAGAGGAGTGTCCCCCTCCCCCGACCATACCGTGTCCCCTCCCCCGAACCATACCGTGTCCCCTCCCCCGACCATACCGTGTCCCCAGAAATACAATGCTACATCTACATCAGTGCAAAGCCCGGGGCCGCCGACCCCGCCCCCTTTCCAGCACCAAATCTCAGTCACCAGGGGGGCTGGTCAGCCGCATGACGTCTGCCTCCCGGCGCCGGCCAATCATGTCCTCCGCTGATCCGGGACAGGTACGCCTCCCAGCCCACAGCTTTGCGGTACATCTCCGCTGCCTCGGTGGGGCTGCTGGCGGACAGGATCCCGCGGCCCACGATGATGATGTCAGATCCTTTGTTAGCGATGACCTCATGAGGCGTCTGATAGCGCTGGCCCAGATCATCTCCTGCAATGAGCGCACACAGGATCCGGTTATTGATCAGAAATTCTGGGAAGGAAATCTACAATTGGGGGTTTTATATCAATAGAGAATTGGGCAAAATATATATATATTTTTTTTTTAAGGCAATTTCAGAAAAATCTTTGTTCAGACCCGCCCCCGCGGAGTCAGGGCTGGAGCTCTCCAATCAGCTGCCACTCATGGAGGGGGCATGGTGGACATTCGGTCTCAGTGTTCCTTCTCTACAGCAGGCTGATTGAGGGGAGGTAAAAACATAAGGAGGCATTTATAAACTGGTGGTACGGCCGGACCACAGCCCCCGGCAGCGGCAGGTGTCAGCGAGGGGGTGAACATTAATTAGCAAACATTTCCCAGGTCTCCCCCCCCCCCCCCCCCCCACCGCAGAATAAACCCATCCCCCAATGTGATGCCGAGTGCAGCTGAAGTGTTCCTGAACCCACAACAGGACCATCCGTCTGTAGATGCAGGAAAGCATGATTGTTATACTCACTGTGGAACCTGAGGGGTTAATCCTTGCATTGTGTAAAAATGCTGTTTGATCCTGTCTTCTCTGAACCTACCTTTCTTCCCATGTCCCCCTCATCCCCCTCAATAGTACAAAGCTCTAGGAGTCACTCTGCACATGCTCAGTTTGGTGTGTATTGCTAGAGGTTTTTTTTTTTTTCCTTGAGAGAGTGCATGTGATCAGCACAGGGCTAATCAGCACTGGACAGACAGAAGTCAGGGGTTCTGCATCCACCTAGAGCAGAATGAAAGCTTCTCCTAAAGGCTTTAACCAGTGCTCTGCTGGACACTGATAGAAAGCACAAGACTGCTATATACTGCTGATGAGAAACGCGGGGTCCGGTGAGAGCGGGGTACAGGGAACGCGGGCGCCGGGAGAGCCGGGTCACTACAGGGAACGCGGGCGCCGGGGAGAGCCGGTACACAGGGAACGCGCGGGCCGGGGAGAGCCGGTACAGGGAACGCGCGGGCCGGGGAGAGCCGGTACAGGGAACGCGCGGGCCGGGGGAGAGCCGGTACAGGGAACGCGCGGGCCCAACGGGGGAGAGCCGGTACAGGGAACGCGCGGGCCGGGGAGAGCCGGGTACAGGGAACGCGCGGGCCGGGGAGAGCCGGTACAGGGAACGCGCGGGCCGGGGGAGAGCCGGTACAGGGAACGCGCGGGCCGGGGAGAGCCGGTACAGGGAACGCGCGGGCCGGGGAGAGCCGGTACAGGGAACGCGCGGGCCGGGGAGAGCCGGTACAGGGAACGCGCGGGCCGGGGAGAGCCGGTACAGGGAACGCGCGGGCCGGGGAGAGCCGGGGGTACAGGGAACGCGCGGGCCGGGGAGAGCCGGTACAGGGAACGCGCGGGCCGGGGAGAGCCGGGTACAGGGAACGCGCGGGCCGGGGAGAGCCGGTACAGGGAACGCGCGGGCCGGGGCGAGCCGGGTACAGGGAACGCGCGGGTCCGGGGAGAGCCGGTACAGGGAACGCGCGGGCCGGGGAGAGCCGGTACAGGGAACGCGCGGGCCGGGGAGAGCGGGGTACAGGGAACGCGCGGGCCGGGGAGAGAGAGCGGGTACAGGGAACGCGGGGGCCGGGGAGAGCGGATATAGTGAACGCGGGGTCCGGGGACAGCGGATACAGGAGTGCCCACCTGAGCTGCCTTTCAGTGTCACCCATAAGTGCCAATCAGTGCCGCCTAACAGTGCCATATATCAGTGTCATGTATCACTGCAGCCTCCTCAGCACACATCAGTGAAGGAGAAAAATCACTTATTTATGGAGCGAATATAAAGCGGCCAGTCCGGTGTTTCCTCCACCATGTCAGAATATCGAGCCGGCCGCTCAGCTGTTCTCTGCAGCAGGAACCTGTTCCTCAGTCCAGCGCTGTAGTCTTCCCGCCCGGCCTCTGTATCAGCCGGGGGCCCACTGCACATGTGCGAGAAGCGTTGCGCTTTGTGAATGGTCCGGTGTCTTCTAGGACACATGACAGGTCCCAGAAGGCTCTGGGCCATTCACAAAGTGCAGCGCTTCTCGCACATGTGCAGTGGGCCCCTGGCTGTCAAAGTCGGGTGCCCACTGTATAGGAAGGAGAACTCTGCGGAAGTGGGAGCGGGTACCTACTCCCCCACCCTCCCTAAAGGTTCGCAGTCTCCGGTCATCCCCTGCACTGTGTCCGCAGTCTCCGGTCATCTCCTGCACCGTGTCCGCAGTCTCCGGTCATCTCCTGTACCGTGTCCGCAGTCTCCGGTCATCTCCTGTACCGTGTCCGCAGTCTCCGGTCATCTCCTGTACCGTGTCCGCAGTCTCCGGTCATCTCCTGTACCGTGTCCGCAGTCTCCGGTCATCTCCTGTACTGTCCGCAGTCTCCGGTCATCTCCTGTACTGTGTCTGCAGTCTCCGGTCATCTCCTGTACTATGTCCGCAGTCTCTGGTCATCTCCTGTACTATGTCCGCAGTCTCTGATCATCTCCTGTACTGTGTCCGCAGTCTCTGGTCATCTCCTGTACTGTGTCCGCAGTCTCTGGTCATCTCCTGTACTATGTCCGCAGTCTCTGGTCATCTCCTGTACTGTGTCCGCAGTCTCCGGTCATCTCCTGTACTGTGTCCGCAGTCTCTGGTCATCTCCTGTACTATGTCCGCAGTCTCTGGTCATCTCCTGTACTGTGTCCGCAGTCTCTGGTCATCTCCTGTACTGTGTCCGCAGTCTCTGGTCATCTCCTGTACTGTGTCCGCAGTCTCTGGTCATCTCCTGTACTGTGTCCGCAGTCTCTGGTCATCTCCTGTACTGTGTCCGCAGTCTCTGGTCATCTCCTGTACTATCTCTGCAGTCTCTGGTCATCTCCTGTACTGTGTCCGCAGTCTCTGGTCATCTCCTGTACTATGTCCGCAGTCTCTGGTCATCTCCTGTACTATGTCCGCAGTCTCTGGTCATCTCCTGTACTGTGTCCGCAGTCGATTGGTTCAGAATATTTTTTTCTGGTTTCTCTCCTAGGCGCGTCTTATGGAGCGAAAAATACGGTAATATCCATTAATGAATATGAATTTATTTTCAGCACATTTCGGCCAATAGGCGGCTTTCACACCGAGCAAATTATGAAGCGATTTTGCATTAAAAACGAAAAAAAAATTAAAAAAATTAAAAAATAACTGTCCATTTTCTTTTTGGCCAAATCCATACTGAATTTTTGGTTTAAGAATTTTCTATTTCGGTGCACCACTAACTGTACAACCACCGCGGTATTCTCCGGGGTCTCGGCTTTCAGAAAATAATGTCCACCCCCCTCTGTGAGTGCAGCTGATTGGACAGCTCAAGCCGGGGGGGCGGTGCTGAATAAAGAGACTTTTTCTGAAACTGAAAAAATAGTTACTTTATGTTAACCACCTTCAGTTCCGTTTAAGATTTCCCCTCCCGCGCCCCATCCTGACCGTGAACATTCCTTTTTTTGGGATACGGCCGTCTGCATTACTTTAAACTACAAATGGCCGCTGTCCATGCAACGCAGCACCAAAATAGAAGTACACTCCTGTTTTCGCCCACAGACATTCTTTTATTGTTATCTTGATCACCTCTGGCGGTTTGTACGTTTATTGGGCGTTAGAATACATAAAAAAACATTTAAAAAAAAAATTTTTTTTTTATTTTCTACTATAAAGCAGCCAGTAAAATTTTTTTTTTGAAAAAAAACAAAAAATTTTTCATAAATTTAGGCAAAAATTAATTTTGCGCCACATTTTTGTTAACCGCTTCCCCACCGCCCAATAGCAATAAACCGCTACAGGCAGCAGGGGTGCGCAAAATCATGTAAATTAACACACACATTCAGGGGCGGGGCTGACCCCAATTTTGGGAAAACCAGGCACTGCCCCCAGGGCCCGGGTCAGTAGGGGCCCCCTGAGATGCCCCTGGGACCTTTTTTTAAAGCTTTTTTTAATTTTGGGCCCAAGGCAAAAGGGGCCCCCTGATCCCCATTGCCCGGGGGCCCCCTGATTGCAGTCCCCCCTGTACATTGACTTTTCGGTCCGGGGGGGGCACACCAGGCCCACTCACCCGCTAATCGCTGCTCCAGCGTCAATCACCAGATCCCGCCATGATGACCCCACCCCAAAACCCTGATCGCCGGGTGGGGGGGAGAAACTGATGTAAACAACGCAGCCCCCCCCGCACGCGCTTTTTTATGCCCTTATAGAAGACCATACAAAGCAGTGTGCTTTTCAGTTAAAGCACTAACCAGCACACCGTTAACCCTTTGATGGCCCCCGATTTTTAAACCCCTTCCTCCCAGTGCCCTTAAACGTGTCAGGGGTTTTTTTTTATCATGATCACTGTATTGGGGATTACACCAATCATTCCCCCCCCGGGCCCTAATGGCGGGGATCCCGCATAAAAAAAAAAAGAAGCTAAATATAAAAAAAACCCCAAAAAGCCCAACAATTACCTCCCGGGTCTCTGGACTCCGGGGTGAGGGAGGAACCGGGTTTGTCGCTGATTTTGCATCCGAGAGAACCAAATACGAAGGTTGATGACTTCGGCCAACTTCACCTGAAACAGACACCCTCAATGACAGCGAGGGGGGCGGATTGGGGGGACGGGTTGGGGGGGGGGCAAACCAAATCAGGGGAAATGCGCTGCACTGGGGGGCCCCGTCCTTCAAGCCCACAATTATTATTACGACTGTCCCAAAAATTTCAAAGCGGGAAACCCGGGAACCGCTGGTCGAACGGCGCCATTTCACAGCTCCCAAGTACACAGGACGACTCTTTTGGGACACGCTCATGACCACGGGCTCCCTGGGACCGGCATTCTCCTTGTTACAAAAGGAAGTCTCCAAACTTTTTTGATACCACCTCGTGTTGCGATACCCAACGCTTCTACTACAGCTATAGTTACTTCTCGTGGATCTTTTATTTCTCACGCTGTGACTTCCTGTGGAATCAGAGCCGCCTCTCCACTGGCACCAAGTGTGAGACCTCGCCTGGCACAGCGAGACGCGAACTGGGAGGTTCCTGGGACTTGTGGACCAAAGCAACATCATTCTTACGGGCTACGCAGGAGCGAAACAGATAAAAAAGAAGAGAGAAAAAAGAAAAAAAAAAAAAAGTACTCTTTTCCCAAATTAAAAAAATAAAAATAACGAGTGGAGCAGTATAGAGAGGGAAAAAAAAAAAAAAAAAAACAAAAAAAAAACGAAAAAAAAAAAGAAAAGAAAAAAAGTACCCGCCCAATTAAAAAAAAAAAATAAAAAGAGTAGGAGCAGGGATAGAGAAGGAAAAAAAAAAAAAAAAAAAAAAAAAAAAAAAAAAAAAGAAAAAAAAAGTACCCCTTTCCG